TAAAAATTAATTTAAAATTCATAAAATTTAAAAATGAAAAAAATCAAGGGTTTAGGGTTTATAAATGGTCCTCAAGGTTAAAATCCTTATATAAATGGTTTTTTCATTTTTAAATTTTATGAATTTTAAATTATTTTAAAAAAACTTCATTAGTTTGTTGGTGTGGCATATATGTGGAGCCCACATCTTCAAAAATATAGTGTCATATGTATTTAAAATACAATATATATTTTTAAATAATATAAAAAAGAAAACCAAAATTTTATGAATTTTAAATTAAAAAATTAAAAAATTTCGCAAGGACCATTTGTGATAGATGTGTAAACCTTAGGGATGTTTTGTGATATGTATATATGCCACGTCAGCAAACTAACGGAGTTTTTGACGGAACCTAACGGTAAGGACCATTTGTGATTATACATACTAATCTTGAGGACCACGAGTGACACAAAAAAACATTAAGGATGCAATCTGATAGTTTCGTAAACCTTAGGGACTTTTTGTGATAATAAGCCTATATTTTATAATTTTGGATTGATTTGACGATTATATCCCTGAATTTAACAGTTTTTTTAACAGAAGGACTATTTCAGAGCACCTATATTAACGTTAGGGACCATAAGTGATACAAAAAAACTTTAAGGATGCAATCTGATAGTTTCGCAAATGTCTGGGACGTTTTGTGATAAAAAGACTTTATTAAAAAGTATTAAAAAGCAAAAGGGAGTGTAAGTGGAGAAAATGGGAGTGGGGAAATCAGCTCCCTAGAAAATATCTCTCAACTCTCTCTCTCTCTCTCTCTCTCTCGTTCCCTAGCTCTCCAAGCCTTCACATAACTTATACTCACACCCATGTCCTTTCACATATCCTCCATGATGTCGTGGGGTCTATGTATTCGTGATACACCCTCGTACTTAGATTTATGCATTGGCCAATAAGAGAACTACTTGCTTGTCGATAATGGCGATAGATAATATCTAATGAGTATGAGTGTTTGGTAAAATATATTTTTACCATGAAATATGAAGCTTTTCGTACCTTGGATGCATGCAGTTTCCACATGCATTGGTCATCGACACAACCAATGGGCAAACCTAAGCACGCACGTCTGCTAAGGGATGGATTTGCCTAGATCATTGTAAAGTACTTTCTACTCTCTGGCCAATCCCAACAGGCAAACCTGAGCACACATGTCTGTATAGCCTTGGTCTGAAGCAATTCCAACACTCCCTAATTCAACTTACAATGATCCAGGCCCAAATTGGAAATATTTTATTCATCCAAATCGAAAAAGAAATATAGTTAATAAGTTCTTTATCTTTGAATCCAATCCAACAAACAAAATTAATAAGTTGAATAAACTATTTCAAATGGCCAATAGAAAACCATGGAATTAAAACAAAGATGGAAGGAGAGAGAGAAAGAAAAGCAAACTTGGGATTACAGATCGGTAAGTTGAATTAGGGAGTGTTGGAATTGCTTCAGACTAAGGCTACAAACGTGCGTGCTCAGCAGTAGTTCGACCAAAGGCTACAAACGTGCGTGCAAATCCAAACTATGTAGTAAGGTTTTGCCTTTTAGGTTTATGTGGGTTTTAATTTTTAAGGACATTTGTGTCTATTTAGATGAGTTTTTTGTTATATTTGAAAGATTTTATAAAAATTGACATTTTTTAAAGTGAGACTATTTAAAAAAAAATCTCTAGCTCCTTCCTTCTCGTACGGACATAAGAAGAATCCATGACTTTTTTGATAAAAGCGACAAGACTGTGATCAACCCTAATCACCCTGTTGTTTTTTTCTCCAAATGAAAACTACATTATCGAGCATATCAGCTGCCACGTCCCAACAGAGGGTCCCACATTCGCTAGCCTCCACCTCACAACCCATCAACAGACGTGGGCTCATAGACCGCCACCCACCGAATCTCAAATACACGTCCCGAGTCTCCAATCCTCAAAAACCCCCAGATTCTGGGCATCGAGCCAATTCTTCAAAACGCACCGTCTCACTAGCTTTCCTCTAATTCCATGGCCACGGCGGCGCGCGCCATTCGCTGCGAGCTGAGGAGGCAGGAAAACCCGGCGATTAGCAGGCGCGACCCGGCGGTTCCGGTTCAGTTACCCGTTCCGAAACCCGTGGCGGCGGATCCGAAGACCGCGAAGATCGTGCTGCAGCCGCGGCTTTGCACTCTGAGATCGTACGGCTCAGATCTCGCCGGAGTGATGAGGAAGAAGAAGGACGACACGTCGCCGTTCTTCGCGGCGCTGTCGGAGTACATCGAGAGCTCGAAGAAGAGCCAAGACTTCGAGATCCTGTCGGGTCGGCTGGCCATGGTGGTTTTCGCGGCGACAGTAGCGACGGAGGCGGTGACCGGAAACTCCTTGTTTGGGAAGGTGGAGGTGGAGGGGATCGCGGAGGCGGCGGGGGTGTGTTTGGCTGCTGTGGCTTGCGCGGCGGTCTCCGCTTGGCTATCCAGTAACCGGAAGAACGTGGGTCGGGTCTTGAGCTTACGCTGTAACGGGTTAATAGATTCGTTGATTGACCAGATTGTGGATGGCTTGTTTTATGAGACTACCGACCTTAGCGATTGGTCTGATGAGGTGTGATGAAGAAAGGTGCCCAGGTGGTCAACGTTTCTGCATCTGAAAGTCAACGGTATAGATTAATTAATTGGGAAATTATATGTATAATTCCCATAATTAATAGTGAATGTTATAGT